CCTGGTTGGGTCGTGTGGGTGGCAACCACTCGATGTGTCCCTTTCATGTCGATGTTTCTCTCTCTCTCTCTTCCTCCCTCTCTCCCTCCCTATCTATCTGAAGATAAATGCAAAAATGTCCTCAGGGTGAGGATAAAAAATAAATAAATAAATATACACTGACTGAGTCTCTTGTATTTTCCACTTTCAAGTCCCCAAAGACAATATCTGATTGGCCTAACTAGTCACCACCATCTCCTGTTTGTTTTTTTAGGAGTGGGAGCAGAGTTCTTCTTAATAGGTTATTGGTTAGTGTAAGTGTTGTTTGTTGGTAGGTCAGGGGTTCCCTTCTACACCAGTCAGCTATGGCTGAGGTTCATTGGCGCATAACATGACCCCTCCTGACACCCCCTCAGCAAAACAAGCTAGGTCACGAAGGGCTGTGCAGAGTGGCTATATTCCAAATGCAGCATGAGCCAATCTTTCCCAGGGCAATCTGGAATCAAAAATATTAGGCTGCAATAGCCAATATGATACAAATGACCCTACCATTTATGCTCATTTATGGGAACTCAGTGTTAATGAAACCCAGAATAGATGCACAAAATTGTGTCTCAGATGCTTTTTCGAGAAAAATAGAGAAGCTTCTTTTGGTTTGATTTTTTTAGTCTGTAGATATTTGTTTTTGCTGTACTTTGTTTTTCTGCTGCCTGTGGTGTTTCAAAATACCAACTCGCCTACAGCAGATTCCTACATGAATTGAGATTGACTTGGACAATAATCCCCCATGTCTTGCCCCCATCATGTTATATTTGTTTATATTAGCTTTAGCAATGTCCTCGGGGTTTTATTCTATGCCCTCTAAGCACTGTCCCTAAATAAAAGAGGAAAACAGCTAGAACTAGGAAAACGGCCACAATGGTTATCAGTTTTTCAGTTCCAAATTAAGTGAGCCTTGTACCTCACCCTCTACCAATTGTCAATAAAGGGATAACACATATTTTGATGAGGCACAAGTAGGAACTGCATGAGTAACTTATTAACTGATCCTGGAAAAGAAAAGGCTTTGACGCTATTTATTACACCTATTGAATTCAAATCAATAAACATTCCTACCATGTTCCCAACACTCTACCAGGAACTGGGAAGCTAAAGAAGAAAAAACCTAATCCTCACCCTGAATGATGGACCATAAATGGTGGAAGACAGTCCTATGATGATGATGATGTTACCAGAAATGATGGAACTGTTTCAGGAACTCAGAGTGAGGAGAGAATCAATCTGAATTTAGAGATAAATAAGTAACATTTGAGATGGGCATTAAGGGATAGATAGAATTTTTCTAAGTAGAAAAATGTAGGAAAGTGCATTCCAGATGTATGGATTAGCACAAATAAAAGCAAGAAGAAAGAAAATGATTTGTATGGGAAATAGCAGGTAGTCATACAATGGGTGGAAACATAATACAGCTCTAAGGAAGGACTACATTTGCTCATAGAGTACCAAAGACCCACAGCCTGGGTTCTGCAAACCATGACTAATGTCAGACATTTGAGACACACACACAAAAAAGTTTTTTTAAATCCTCACCTAAGGATATTTTTCTAATTATCTTCAGATACAGTGGGAGGGAGGGAGAGAGAAGGGAGAGAGAGAGAAACATCGACTGGTTGCCACCTGCACAACCTCAACCAGGGCCGGGGAGGAACCACAAGCAAGGTGTGCCCTTGACTGGAATTGAACCTGTCACTCATTGGTCCACGGGCCAACACTCTAACCACTGAGCCAAACCAGCCAGGGCTGAGAAACAAAAATTTTGACCACTGAACATAGCAACAGCTTATTTCAAAACTGTAAAGAGGATTACAATTGCCAAGCAGAACAAAACATTATCATCAAATCTAGTTCTTATATTTATTCCTTTGCATTAAAGTAATGAATTAGTTGAATTAGCTCCCAGGCACTCTGCTGGGTATTAGGAACACACAGCTGACTCCACTGCAGTCCCTGTCTTTATGGAGCCTTGTAACTGGAGATTTCATTTGTGTCTTTATGTATTTAATAGACTTTCTAAAAATCTGTTATTGGTTTACTCACAGCAAAAAAAACAATTTTTTATGTTTAAATTTTAAATACTCTTTTATTGTTACAGAAGCAGTCCATGGGCATTATAGAATAAAAAGCCAGCCAAAACAAAAAATAAAACACCACTGTCCTATGTTCATAGCAGTGCTATTTACAATAGCTAGGATCTGGAAACAGCCCAAGTGTCCATCAGTAGATGAGTGGATAAAAAAGCTGTGGTACATGTACACAGTGGAGTACTATGCAGCTGTAAACAATAAATATCTTGCCCTGGCTGGTTTGGCTCAGCAGTTAGAGCGTTAGCCCGTGGACCAGACAGTACAGGGTTTAGTTCCCACTAAGGGCACGTACCTTGGTTGCAGTTCGTCCCCAGCCCCTGTTGGGTTTATGTGGGTGGCAACCAGTGGATGTGTCTCTCTCACATTGATGCTTCTCTCTCTGTTCTTCCCTCTCTCCTTCTCGCTCTATCTGAAGATGAATAAAAAGATGTCCTCGGGTGAGGATAATAAGTAAGTAAATAAATAAATAAATAAATAAATATCTTTTATCCTTTGAGACAACATGGCGGGACATGAGAGTATCATGCTAAGCCAAAGAAGCCAGTCAGAAAAAGACAAGTATCACATGATCTCATTTATTTGTGGAATATAATGAACAAAAATAAGCTGACAAACAAAATAAATCTAGAGACATGGAGGTAGGAAACAGACTGACAAACCTCAGTGGGGAGGGGAGTTTGGGGGGTTGGGAATAGATACACCAAAGAACTTATTGCATATATGCATAACCAATGGACACAGACAACAGTGCAGTGAAGGAGGCAGGGAGCAGGAGTGGAGAGGAGGGTGTGTCAATGGAAAAAAAATCATAAATAAAAGACATCTGTTACCACCCAGAGAGCACCACTGTAACCGCTGGTTCATATCTGCCCTCATTCTCATATACATACGTATGTTTTTATAGGTATTTTGTTTACAAAAATGTTTTCATACTGATTAGAGACTTTCTGTCTTATAACCTGGTTTTTTTAGTCAATAATTTCCACTTTTCCATGTCAATAAATGCTTTTTTTCCCCTAGTACTCAGTACATAGTCAAATTTTCCCAAAATGTCCTTTATAGCTAATTTCACCAAATCAGCCCATGATACAAGATTTTACATTGCATCTTCTGATTATGTCCTTCATATATCTTTTTTTTTTTTTAATCTTCACCCCAGGATATATTTTTTAAATTGATTTTGAGAGAGAGAGGGAGAGAAAAAACTCAATGTGAAAGAGAAACATGGATATGAGGGAGAAACATTGATGGGTTGCCTCCCATATGCGCCTGACCAGAGATCAAACCCATAACCTGACCAGGAATTGAACCTGCAACCTTTTGGTGTATGGGAGGATGCTCCAACTAATTGAGCCAGCCGGCCAGGGCTCCTTGACATATCTTTTAATCCAGTATAGTCCCTTTTAAAAATTATTCTAACGTGATGAAAAGAACTGGCCAGTTATTCCGAAGAACAATCCACCTCCTGTATTTGCCTGGTTGCTTACTTGTGATGTTATTTTACTTGTTGCTCTATCCTCTCTATTCCTATAAACTAGAAGCTCTAACTGATGTGGTAGCAGATGTGGCAGAAGCAAGTTAAACATTTTGGGCTAGAATATGTGTTGTAGACCAATGAGACAGACCAGACTCAGACTCCGAACTGGGTTCAAATTAAGAGAGCTTTATTAGCCACGCCGCAACTGTCCCATCCTACACAGAGGAGAGAGCAGCCCCGAGCTCAGGGGGTGGGTTGCTTATATAGTTTTCTTAGACCCTATTAAGAAATTGGGCTAAGGGTCTGCGAACAAGCAAGCATGTACAGAAGCAGATATCTGCGGTTAGCCATTATGTCTGAGGGGTAAGCAGTTCTATTTGTACAATATAGTGGTCAGCTCCGGCTGATGCCTATCTCCTTCTCTCCCACCTAATTCCTATAATCCTCTTAGGGTCCAGGGCAAGGTCTACCAACTGGGAAAATTTTAACTACAAGTTTTCACAGTACTTCAGCTGTATGTTCTTTATGTTTTATTGCCCTATTGTCCTTCACATAAGTACTTCACGTTGCTTCACGTCAGAATACAAATATCCTGGTATCTGATAGATCCACCATTGGGGACGGTCAAATTGACCCCTGGGCAATGGCCATAACTGGCGGTTTTGGAGGGAAAGGGCAAAAGGAGGGAGCAATGGGGTAGGAGTGTGAGTTCAACTTGGCTACCTAAAGGGAAGTGGGGTGGGGAACCCAGAAGCAGGCAGTGGAACGCCAACGACAACCAATTGTTCTGATCTTGTTCTCACAATTAGGGAAAGCAAAACAAAAACAAAAACAGTGGGTCCTCCCTGAGTCTCTGAGACAGCCGTTTTAAAAATGGATCGTTCCCTTCATAAAATGAGCTGAGATGGGCCGACGCGGTACCCAGTCGCGGAGAGACGCCGTCACCCCGCTCTGCACAACCTTACAACCTGGGACCAGACGCAGAGACCAGCGCGGAAGCAGTGTTTGCATCCGCTCCTAGTTCTTCCGGCAGTAACCCTTTTTCCTGCCTCTGGCCACCAGAGGAGCTACAGCCAAACCACCGTTGTTTCGGGCGATATTTCGAGAGATGAATCTTGTCCTACCCAGGGTCCCGTAGCAAGGGGTGCCGAGGCAAGATGAACAGCGCATCTGCTCTCTCGCGAGTATTAATAGGCCCCTCCCCGCTTTCCTCCTCCGGCCCGCCCACCCCACCCGCGCACGCTCAGACCCGTTCAGGTGGCTCGCGGCAGGTGGCGCTGTCTGCGGCGTCGCAGGGGCTCTGGCTGCCGCGGAGACGATCTCCCGGCGGGCACTGCGGTCCGGCTCTCCGGCGGCAGTGAGTGCCACGTCCCAAGTGCTAAGCGGAGGCGCGGAGCGGGCGGTTGGCGGGGGGCGGGGGACAGCGCGGAGCCCGACCCGGCCACACTGATCGCCCGCCGCCATGGGCTCTTCGCAGAGCGTCGACATTCCAGGCGGGGGCACGGAAGGCTACCACGTCCTTCGGGTAAGAGCTCCGACGGCGGCCCAGGAGCGGCGGACTGGAGGCGGGGCCTGGCCTCGGGGAGGCGGAGGCCCCGACGGGCCCTTTCGCGATGCAGCCAGGCCCGACCTCACGAAGGAGCGGCGACCCCAGTCGCCGCTTTGGCCGAGGCCGGTTCTAGAGGGCACTCGGATCCCGCCTCCCCGGAGCGCCCCGGGCCCGGGGTCCCCCGCTTTGGGAGGACCGGCTGGAGCTGGAATGGCATCTGGCTGCTTCGCCAGGAGACAAACTTGGCTCCTTTCCTCCTCAGGGCTCCCTCCCGCTTGGTTCTTAGCTTCCAAAGTTAGTTAAGGCTTAGGGGCAAAGTCTGCAAAGAGGTGATGGTGAAGGTATCTTTTGAGTTTTCCGAGAAAAGGAAGCCTGGAACCCGCCGACTGGAGGCGAAGGATGCGACGGCAGGTGTTAATTTACCGCGGCGCTGGCTGAATGTCCCGATAGCCCAATTAGGCAAACAAAACGAAATGGCCCAGAAGTGGGATTGGGACATAAATTTACTTGAATTTGACAGTAGTTTTTCCTCTCTCGTGTCGCTCCCGACCTTTCCAATCCTCTTCCACATTTCCTGGCCGGGGGAACTTCCGTTCTGCTCAGGGCGTGGTGGAGATTTATTAAGGTTTTGAGACACGGTGGTGAAAGAGGAACGTTTTAAAATATAGTCTAGACAAATAAAAGAAATCAACCTCTATCACCAGGTTGCAGAGAAACATAGTGTCCCAAAAGGCATTGGCTAAGCCCTGCTTATGGACAGCCTGGGTTGAACGAAGCTTGTGGTCCTGTCTTCATGGAACTAGTCTAAAAGTAGCATTGGTGGTTGTGTGCTGTGAACCTGCGTGTGTCCACAGAGTGGCCCCAATTTCAGGGTGCAGTAGAGCGCGGCTAGATAGTAGCTCCTCACAGGCAAGAGCATTTTCACTGAAAGTGAGAAAGTGTACTTCCTCGTGCGTCAGTGATTTTTCTGGCTTAGGTCCCATGTTTTAGGTGAGACACACTCTTAAACTAAAGTACCCAAATATCTGTGCCATAGGGCTGTGATCAGTCACCTTTCTGATCTTCAGGTTTATCATGTTTAGTTGTCTCTCCACTGTACTAAAAATAAATCCTCTTTGAATCCACACTCTTGGTTGGAAAGGATTTTCCCCGAAAAATAAAGGGAATCTATAAGTAAACCGTATTACCCTCCTTTTCCCTTCAGTTAAGCCAACCCCCAAGTCCCACACAGATGGGGGAAATGGAAGAAGTGTCAGATTCCAGATATGAAGTACAAGTTAGTGACAGTACTTTTTTCTCTATTATCTGCTTTGAGTTTGAGTGCTCTGAGTTCTGTTATCCAGTGTTACCAGCTGATTCTCACAGTGACTGGTTGTAGCCATGCATCCTTGGGGATTGGTGATATTTTTATAATAAGTGCAAAAGTCTAGAAAGCTGTACACATCAAAAGAATTCCAGTTCAGCTACTTCTGTTAATGACTTCATTTGCCATAAAACGAGTTGAAGTGTATTTTCTTTACATAGGTGCACCTCAGTAAATCAACACTTAAACATATTCTATAGTTCAAATGTTATTAATCCATAAATCTGATGTTTAGAAGCACTAGGGGTAACCTTTGTTTTCATTCTGCATCTGGAGCATAAATGTTGCAAAAGGTGAAATAATTCTTATTTTGTTTGAGTTTTGTTCAAGGGAGCTTTAAAATAGTAATGATTGTCTAGTTTAGGAGAATATTGTTTTTTCGTCCTCACCTGAGGACATGCTTAGAGAGAGGGAGAGAGAGACAGAGAGACGGTGGGAGAGAGAACATTGGTAAATTGTACATGTCCCAACCCGAGATCAAACCCAAAACCCAGGTATATGCCCTGACAGGAATAGAACCAACAATCTTTTGGTCCTCTCAATGACACTCAACCAACTGAGCCATTTCGGCCAGGGGGAGAATTTTCTTAAATGTATCTGAGTATGTAACTCTGATTTAGTCATTCTAGTCCCTACAATTCAGATTGAACTTTACAGTTTTTTAATTTTTTTCATATTCATTGTTAGATTCTGCCCCTGATTTAGTCTGCCCCTGATAATGTAATTGATTTTCTTATCTTTGTTTTCAAAGGAGAAAGTATTGTGTTAAATCCCAACATATAAAAATATCTTCCTTTCATTTGTTGTTGTCTAAATGTACAACCGTATATTTCACTGCTGGATTATAGAGTTTGTAAACCAGAGTAAATATGGCAGGATAACCTTGGAATAAAATCGCCAATTTTTAACAGGTCCTTGAATAACTAAATTAGAAGTTTTCACCAATCAATTTTCTGGTCATTTTTTGTTAGTAATAAAAACGTATATGACTGGGTTTTGAAATACTAATTATAGTGCCATTCATATTCACTGCTGTTTTATTATTGTTACTTCAAAGTCCCTACAATTCAGATTGAACTTTACAGTTTTTAAAATTTTTCCATATTGATTGTTAGATTCTGCTTTTAAAAAATCTTTAGGGACAACCTTGAAATGTTTCCAAATTTTCTGCTATGAGCAGTATACTTTCCTCTTTATGTTTTATGCATTCATGCACATTTTCATACTGTGATCCTATTTTTTTTTGGATCCTCACCCGAGGATATTTTTCCATTTTTGTTTATATAGAATGGAAGGGGGAGAGAGAGAAACATCGACCAACATGAAAGGGACACATAGAGTGGCTGCCTCCCTCACAACCCCAACCAGGGCTGGGGACAAACCGCAGCCAAGGCATGTGCCCTTAGCGGGGAACCGAACCTGAGTCTCTCTAGACTGCGGACCGACACTCTAACCGCTGAGCCAAACCGGCCAGGGCCAGTGGTCCTATTTTATACCTGACTCCCCATCCTAGAAGTAACCACCGTAGATAATTTCTTATGTATCCTTTCAAAAATGTTTGATACACCCTCCCCCCCTTTTACTCTTCCTTTTTTTCCCTTTTGTAACTGTTGGAATCATATGATATAGACTGTTACACACCTTGGTCTTCTCATTTGATAACCTATCTTGGCATTCTTTCCATAGCAGCACATAGCTCTCTCTTGTTTCACTTAGCTCCATAGTAGTATATTATACCATAGTTTGGTTAAGCAGAACCTTCTGGTGTTGGACATTTAATTTTTCGGTTCTTTTGCTGTTACAAGTACATATCTACAACCTTAAATCCTACCTTTTGATTTCATTTAAAATGTACATTTTCCCAAATTATTGAATTTTAATATAATCTAATTATCTAAATGTTGATCTTCATTTTAGTAAATACTATTGTTTTCTGATTGTCAGCACGTGTTAATTAGTTGTTTTTTGGATTAGTTTACCAATAAATTAGTTTATCAATGAGAGAACTTAAATTCTTAAATTACCTATAATTCTATCATCTAAAGGTAAATATTGTTAAAATATTTTTCCTACTCTTTTTCTTGTACCTAGCGTTGCCCATTAACCATGTTTCACAAAGATTTTGAATGATAGGATATATTTAAGTACAATATAGTCAAAATTTATCATAATATGTTGGCTTTACAATCCGAATATCCAACAGTTGAGGAATCGTTAAATAAATCAGAGCCTATACACAGATTTGAATACTATGCATTCAGTGAAAATTGTGTTTCAAGACACTCTCAGGATAGGTTTGCTTCTCCATGTATATCCATGTACATTTGAGCAGCCAGGAAAATAAAGTGGAAAGGTAATAAGCCAGGATATTAAAAAGGATTTTTGGTGGATGATGACATTTATATTTATTTTAAACTTTAATGTATATTCTAAAATTTCCACAATAATGAAATATTTGTACATTTACAAAAGTATAGTTATAAAAAGTATTTTTAAAAAGTAGACTCCTAGTTGAAGAGTTAATATTTGTTCAGAAGGCTTCATTTTTTTTTTTTCCCTTCTTTATTGATTTTAGAGAGGAAGGGAGAGGGAGAGAGAGATAGAAACATCAATGAGAAAGAACATCGATTGGCCGCCTCCTGCATGCCCCCCACTGGAGATTTGGCCCACAACCTGGGCATGTACCCTGACCAGGAACCAAACCAGCGACCTCTTAGTGCATGGGTCGACGCTAAACCACTGAGCCATACCAGCTGGGCCAGAAACCTTCATTTAAAAATAACATTATATTTTAGCCCAGCTGGTGTGGTTCAGTGGATTGAGCGTTGTCCCATGGACCAAGAGGTCCCGGTTCCATTCCCGGTCAGGGCACATGACAGAGTTTCGGGCTCGATCCCCAGTAGAGGTGTGCAGGAGGCAGCCAGCCATTGTTTCTTGCTCACATCGATGTTTCTATCTCTTTCTCCCTTCCTCTCTCTCTCAAAAAAAATCAATAAAAACACATTTAAAAAAATAATACAAAAAAAATAAAAATAACATTATATTTTAGATTCCCTTATACAGTGGGTCCAATTCCATGTTCACCACGAATACCACTTTTATTCCAGGCTTCTGATCCTAACATTAGACAGGAAAATGTTAGCCAGAGCTTCTCAGTTTTGTCAGAAGTTACAGTGAGTTACTATAGTTGAAGTATGTTGAATACAGAATACTTTCCTAGATTTTCCACTAGTTAGCAAGTGAACCCCAGCAAAGCCATATTCAAAATTACATTTTTTTTTTGGAGTTGTCTCGTTGGTACCCATTATGAGATTTGTGTCTAAGTTAAATATTCAAAATAATTTTATTCTGCAGTTAATACTCTTTGAGTTGAGGTGTATCTGAGGATATTTTGGGACCAGTGTTCACACCACAATAGAGACATGGAAAATAACCTGTTCACTATTTCTTATAATTTCCTCCAAAAGAGATTTTGAGATGATGGATGTGTTTTGTTTTGTTTTGTTTTGTTTTAATCCTCACCTGAGGGTATATTTATTGATTTTTAGAGAGAAGGGAAGAGAAAGGAAGGGGGAGAGAGAGAGAGAGAGAGAGAGAGAGAGAGAGAGAGAGA